AGCTGTGTGACTGCCTGAGGGACAGTCTATCGCCTTCCACTGTGGAGGCAGCATCTTGATTCTCATCAGCCAGCGTTTTCCTGTAGGACATTATATTTGTTCTCGTTGGTCTAACCCTAGACCCCAAAACATGAGTGTGATTGTGAACTGTTGACTCCTCTGAGTACTCTAAATAACTTTAATAAGTGTAATTACCCTGTATGTACTGTATATTGATAGTATTATTCAAACTGTGTCCTGATGTACCAGCAGTTGTTATATGTGAATTGTATTCAACAGGTTTTGACCGAATTATACTCACCGAGTCAACAAGGGTCTTATTGTTCTGCACAAACCAAAATTGCTCCGATGAGCAATTACAGTTTCTATCCCATGGCATCCTTATCATACCACACCCTCATCCCAATCTATTCCCAACTTTTCACACTACACTCTCAGTGTATTCTTAAGTGTCTGGTGAAATATGTAAACAACCTTGTGACTATGGGTGATATGCCCTTAACAATTGCTGATTAAAATGCAAATCTTTCAAAATTTTCTTAAACATACCAAATGTGAAAATATTTCCCAGATCTGACTGAATGATCTCAAGCAGTCTTACCCATGAGAAATATTTGACTAATTCTCTTACAATATCCTTACTGTGAATACTCCTCAAAGGTATAGCTTCTGGAAAACATGTAGATGAACACATAATAGTTAACAGATATTGATTTCCTCTCTGTGTCCTACACAGTCTATTACAATTTTTTTAAAAGGTTTACAAAAAGCACGAATGGGTTTCAATATTACAGGTTGAATGATTTGATTTGGTTTCCCGACTTTTTGACACACAGGGCAAGTTTTACAAAATACTGCCATACCTTTCTTCAAACCAGGCCAATAAAAATGTATCAGCAACCTATTTATGGTTTTCCTAACACCTAAATGTCCTACCAAACTGTAATCATGGGATAAAGCTATTATATCATTTTGGTATTCCTTCGGTAAAACAATTTGCTTCTTCTTTTCCCAGTGATCTGAAGCTGGGACCTCTGGGGGTCTCCGCTTTCTCATGAACAAACCACATTGGTAGTAAAATCCCACAGTCATCATCAGACTTACCAATCCTCTCAGCCTCACTCCAGATTTCTCTCAAGCTGGTATCCCCAAGCTGTGAGTTGATTAATTCACCTTTATCAACAATGAAATCAGGACAAAGATCTACCTCCAATTCAACTTCACTATTCTTTTCTTCCTCTTCCACTACAGTAAAAGTCCAAAAATCCAGATGTAGTAGGTAGTAAGCAGCTATCAAACAGGGAGGTACTACTGCCTGGGAAGATATTGGAAGTTTAATGTGTTGTCTAATGGTAGATCCTGCTGCCATATGGCATCACGGAAATTGTGACCAAGTCCCAGGTTGCTGATCTGACTTTCTGCTTCATTTACACACAATTGCAGGGTCTCAATTGTTTCTCTTACTTTGACAACACAACAAACATATATTGTTTCTCACTCTTGATCTTTTTTCTTTTAATTTTTGTATGGGGTATTTCTTTATGGTTCTTTATTATTATTATTACAGTGTTGTTATTGTTATTATTATCATTATTATTATATTATTTAATTTTAATTTTTTTTATCTTTATTATTAATTTTATTTACTATGAATTATTACTATTATTACATTTTCGCCCCCAGGCCCTGATGTGGAACAATGACCTGTGCCCGAGTAGGCTACTCCCTGTATAAAAAAAAAAAAAAAAAATCCACTTCATCCTTGCATAGTCCCGTCTTAGCCAGTAGCCCCAGTGACAGCACACACTGGAAAAATATAAATTTTTCCAACTTTCTCTCTCACTGCATCAAAATCAACATGTGAACCATTTGTCACTCAAAGATACCTCAACAATGTAATTCCCATCACAAGTTAGAGGATCTTCAACCAAACTGAACCACCCGCAACCCTGTTAGATCACTACCCAATTACATATCTACTCTCTTAACTTTACCAATGACAAGGTTGGTCTCGAGGTTTACTACATGTATAGGTATGGCCAATTTTGAGCCAATCACTTTCACCTCTACCTCATCATCTGAACGTGACCCTGTCATCCACTTCAGTGGTTTCTTGAGGACCACACATAGGTTTGGTTTGGTAACTCTCAAAACTGTTATTTTTCTCTCAAGGCTTCCCTCTCGGATTTGTGGCTTCTTCAACCATGAGCTGTGACCCCTAGTAGTGCAGGCGTCCACTAGCTCCAGGTATAGACACTCAACTGAGTTTTGTAGTGCCCTCCGAGATGTTTGTAAACTTCAATTACGTCCCCCTTTGCTAGCCTATAGTATAAGCTAGGCAGTTGCAGACTTTCTAATCTCTCTGCATAACTGATGTTCCATAGCTCAGGCCTTCCTTTGGACGTTTTCAATCAATTGATGGTCTCTAGCATATCTTGGGGACCCAACGAGGCGACAGTACTCCAAACGAAGTACCTCACTCTTGAAGAGGGTTATGAGGGACTGACTATCTAGACACCTGAATGACCTTCTTATAAAATATACAGTACTCGTGTTACTTGATTCCCCTTCTTCTCACACTGGCCCGAGAACTTCAGTTCATTGTCAACATACATACCGAGGTCCTTTTAACATTCTTCATCCTGTTGGAATATGTGATACTCCTCCTTACAGTTGATTGGACCAAGATGCAGCCTCTTACACTTTGTGACATTGAATCTTAACGGACAGCGATTTCTTCAACCACGCTTGAAGCTGACAGAAACCTTTCTGTAGCTCTTCACAGTCCCTTTGATTAAAAAACTTCCCTGACTAACTTGGCATTGTCCACAAACATTTGTATGGAGGAGTGTATAGCTTCTGGCATTTCATTTATAAAACAGACAAACAAACAAACAAGAGGCCCAGTACACTGCCCTGTAGTACCCCACTTGTCACGGGTACACAAGACAATTTTGTGCCATTAATCACCACACATTGCTTGCGGCCATGAAGAAAATCTCTGATCCAAGCTAGGACACTTCCCAGAATCCCGTATCCTTATAGTTTAATTCTCAGTCTTTCATGGGGTATGCTGTCGAAAGCCTTGGCTAAATCCAGATATATCTTCTCAATATTACCACCCTGTTCCAGAATTTGAGTCCAAACATCTAGCATCTTGAGTAATTGTGCCAAGCAGTAGCATCCTGGCATAAAACCATGTAGGCAGACCGTTACAAGGTTGTTTTGTGCTCAATTCTATTGTTCAAGTTTTTTTTTTTTTTTTACGGGGATTAGCCCACCCGGACACAGGTCACTGACCCACATCGGGGCCTGGGGGGCGAAAATGTAATAATAATAATAATAATAATAATAATAATAATAATAATAATAAATAATAGTCATAATAATTCATAATAAATAAAATTCATGATAAAACAAACAAAAATAAAATAATAAAATAATGATGATAATAATGCAGTACAGTGGTCCCTCGGTTAACGAGTTACCTTCCATAAGATTCTTAACTTCGGTTAACGAGCAATCCCTCGATTAACGAGTTTCTTACGAGCTAACCTGAACATGATTTCGCTTGCATTTGGCGGTCCACCAGCTGTAGTATTAGTCCACCAATACAGTAATCGGTTCTAGGGCTTAAATTCCTTACCATTTAAGCAAATATCAAGTTTATACTATTCAATAATTTTAAAAGTTTAATATTAATTTTTTTACTCATTTTAACAATTATTGAACATAATTGAAGGTAATGAAACTAGTTTTATGCGTGCCATCCAGCCTCTCAACACACCATACAGGCGTCAGTCTTTGTATCTTTTCAGTGGAGGTAACATCTTGCTTGAGACTCTTCAACTAAACGCTTTTTTTCTGTTTTTGCAAGCAAATTATTGGTCATTTTGAAATTTATTTTACATATTGACAATATATAATGCAGTGCAGTGTTGATTTAAAGAAAATAATCTTGAATTGCACCAAGAGAACTAAAATTTTATGGGTGAAATGGCGCCATGGGGTGACTTCTCTTCCACCCCAATGCCTTCTCTTCTCCCTTCTCCACCCCCATTCTAATTCCCATCATCATCATCCAGGAGCCTTCTACATACACACCTCAAAGTAAGTGTACTTTTCTACCTTTTTTGTTGAATTTAGGCAATTTTCGGTGAGCTGGAACCAATTACCCAAAAACCCATTGAAACAATGGTTTCGGTTAACGAGCAACCTTCTAGAACGGATTGTGCTCGTTAACCGAGGGACCACTGTAACTGTAATAATAATAATAATTTTATTAATAAAGAACTATAAATACAAAAATGAAAAAAAGATCAAAAGTGAGAAACGATATATGTATGTTGTGTTGTCAATGGTAAGAGAAACAATTGAGACCCTGCAATTGTGTGTAAATGAAGCAGAAAGTCAGATCAGCAACCTGGGACTTGGTCACAATTTTCATGATGCCATATGGCAGCAGGGTCTACCATTAGACAACACATTAAGCTTCCAATATTTTCCCAGGCAGTAGTACCTCCCTGTTTGGTAGCTGCCTACTACCTACTAAGTTGTTATGAAACACTTCAATTAGCTGTAACATTATTCAGTGCTATAAATTGTCTGGATAGGTATACCTCTCTTGATTTAATGTTTTACTAACCGGGATTGCCTTGGTTGCATAGGTGCAGGATGTAAAAGTTTACTGTATATTTGTGCTACAGTATCTCCATGATCCTGCTACTTTTCTAGTCACTCCATGATCACAAATGGATTTCTATTAGTTTTTTTTTGTGAATGTTAGAGCTAAATAACTTTGCTTTAAAATTTTTTCCTTTCTTCATTATGTAACAGCATACCTGACAAGAAAAATTTGACACATTTCAAGTCCCAGTCAGTGAGGGCTTTAAAAGAGCAGATGGTCAGTGGTTGATTTTTTTTTAAAGAATCTATATGTTGTCATATTCCTAAAAGAAATGAGGGGGTTGGGGGAAGGGGCTCTAAAATAAAAAGCAGTATTCAATAAGATCTGGTTTTGAAGATATACTTTCCAAATTGTGTTGTGAATTACACTATGTAAAAATCATACAAACAAATGGCTAGGTAACTTATCCCTGGTTGGGTAGCTACTCTGTGTGCCTGCTGCTTGTACAGACACAGACGCTATCTTACACGACCTCTGCATCATTTCCTCCATGGTAAGTTGTGGATGGTATGCTAGAAAGTATGCCAAGGCTCCCACAAAGGCATCACCTGCACCCTGGAATAAAAATGCTTTTGTTGGGCGAAAATATACATAAATACATACATACACTCACTAAGAATCCAATTTAAGAAATATCAGGATGAAGGAACAATATCTAGGGACTGGAAATCAGTCAACATGATCCCAGTATACAAAAAAGGTAGAAAAAGTGCAGCAGAAAACTACAAACTTTGTGAGAAAATTCTGAGGGACACCGAAGTTAGTAGTCTGCTTTGGTTTGTGCATAAAGAGAGGCTCTACTGTATGAAATCAAGTGTAAAAATTAAGTTGGATAACTGAAAACTTCATTTATTTTAAACATGGACAGTACTTTAATGAGTTCTGTGTAGCCTGAAATGTTAGAAAAATAAAGTAAGTTAGCTCAACCCTGCATTTCCTTCCCACCCATCAAATATCATATACTGTACCACTTTAACATGCCATATAACATTTTAACTTAGTAGTTTGCTCTGGTTCGTGCTGATGAGAGACTCCAATGTATGAAGTTCACTGTAAAGGTTAGGGTGACCAAAAATGTGTCCTGGCAATATATTGTCTGAATAACATCAAACTTTTTGGGAACGCATATACAACACAAATCAGCGACTTTCTGTATAAAGATATATTTCTATACACAGAGGGTGATAGTTCTAGGGAACAGTCTACCAGCCCAAGCTATGGATTCATGATCAGTATTGGACTTCAAAATAGCCCTAGACAAAACTAACAAGAACACTGGAGGGATCCTACACAGGCCATTGGCTTCCTTCCCTTGGCATGGCCACCTTGAGTAAAAAAGGCAGGAATCCTCAAACTGGTCTGAATAGTTCTTATCCCCTTGACTGACAAGATTCAAATATCAATAGGTCTCATTATCATGCGTTCTTTCATCTTTACACAAGTCTTTCTCACAGGATACAAACTCATTAAAATCTAGCACATCACACTGTAAGACTGTAAATAAAACAATATCAATAGTACTAACAGTAGTGTCTACTGGAGTCACTTTATCTGCAGGGACATAAATATGTTCATCAAGAGTAGAGTAGACAGCCCCATCCCCTCCCAGTGTGATGACGACACTACGACAACCTCGTGTTAACAGTATCTTGGCAGCAAGCTGAGCATCTTCCACTCTTTTAACTTGAATTTTAGTTAAGACTTCAGCCTGAAATAAGAGAATATATATAATTATCTAGAAACTTAATAATCATGCTGAAAAACATTTAGTATGAGTGGCCACTTGAGACACCATGTAAACTACAACACAGTAGTGCTGTACAGGCAAACTCTGATTTACAAGGATTTGATTTACAAGAAATTGCAGTTTCAAAAAAGCATTTGTCCCACACTTTGCCCAATGAGCAAAAAAAACTGCTATGAGGAGCTCTACAAAGAGAAGATGCACCAGAAACAGCAAATAACTCATGATGCTTTTCTTGTGACCAGAGAAAAGCCTACAACACATGATGAGGAAGAAGGTGACAATTTTCAGGATGAGGCAGAAGCCAGTTTGAGTGCTGAGACTCCCTCTCCTTCCCTGTAACTCCATCCCCCCCCACCACCACCTCATGCACCACTCACTAACATCTCTGATGAGTAGAATATATGTATTTTTATTTATTTACTATCATTTGTGGTAAGTAAATTTGTCAAAATGTCTAAATTATAATTTAAATGTGTTAAAAAATGTCAAGTACAGTATATCTCCATTTATATGTATGTTTTTATTTACTTATGTTGACTGAAAATTTTTTCATGTGAATGCATCTTCACTTTTCACATGGGAGTACAGTACAGTATATGGGGAAAAATGGTTCACATGAAGAAAATTCTCAATATGGCCACTTTATTAAGAACACATCCATAACGTAATGTAGGGGTCCAGTATAGTAATGAGCAGTGAGCGAGTGAACAAGCTTGTACAATGGCAGCAGCCAATGAATGAAGAGTGTCAGGATGCTAGAATTTGAGGAGATAGACTGCGAGATACATCAGCCAATCATAGATAGCCCATGCAGTCACATGACAGTAATAGCCAATTGTAGCACATGATCACTCTGCTCCTACCCACCCACGTGCTCGGCATGTGTTGGTGCATGATGCAATCATTCGGAAATTCATTCAAATGCCCGAAACGTAATCTATGGTGTAAGTACGTATATCAATCAACGAAGAATAGAAAATAGAAAATGAGAAAACCCTGATCTCAAATTTGCACATTTGGCACTTAGGCACCTGCTTTAGTCAACACCTTAATTCCTCCCCTTTATCTACTTATTTTTTTTGTAAAATTCATCTACAGTACCTTACTCCAAACTTTTGATTTTAAAGCAAAACTTTATTAAGGTAAATCTTAAATAAATCAACAGCTTACCTCACTCTCATTAACACAAAAAATGACTGAATTTTCTATGATAGCTGGGTCTAAGTTAGCATCAGCTGGAGCAGCGTTCATCAAAGTTGTAACTGAGAACAAAAAATAGTTAAATCCGAATTATTTCCTTTCTGATAGTCTGGAGAAAAAAAGGTTGAAAGTCATGGGATTTATGATATGTTGTATACTATACTGATCCAAGGTTACTTACATTCACCATCAGTGTTGCCAGGATTGTATAGCCTGACAAACACTGGAGGTAATACTGGGTAAGCTTTTGTCATTTTAAAATGTGTAATCAACTCGTTTACATTAAGGAATTAAAAGCTTTCATTCCTGTAACATGAACTGAATGAAATGAAGAATTAAACATAAAACAACGAGAGCCTATTTTATAAATGAGAAGAGCGAGTGACATGGAGTCGAGTCTACCACTAAGTACCTCTGGATAATTCCTGCCTGGGCCCTGAAGGTGTGAAACTACCACTAAGTACCTATGGATAAAGCCTACCTGGGTCTTGAAAGTGTACAAGACTTAATAGTACTGTAGTGGATATTATCGTAAAGGATAATGAATTACACAAGCAAAGAAATAGGAGGATCCAGAAGATGAAGCACTGGTTGCGATTGTTTCTTAATTACTGTTGAACACTGAATGACAGAAAACACGAGTCTCTCTTTTGTTCACCATCAATAATACCCTACACTGTACTGTACTTGTTTAAGTTGTTATAAGGTTCAGGTTGTGAAACAAACCTAAAAAAAAAAAAGGAGATTCTGTTAACCACCAATACACTTTTTCTGAGTATGGAGCACAGAGGAAATATTCTTGTCTTACCGTTGTGTTTACGTGCCATTACAAGAGCAGCAAGAGTGGCTTCTGAGGTGATCTCTCCCTGACAGACAACCACTGTTGACTCCTTTACCATCTTTTCTGCCTTCTCTATGTTTGCTGCTGTCATCTTTAAATTTGCTCCTGCTATTATGATGATACAGTTGTCACCTGAAGATGTGTACAAGCAATACAATGCAAGAGAAGATTATTTCCCAATACCAGCAACTGACATTTATCATAATTATTTTTATTACAATGTACAAATACTGATACATGCTTATATAATTATGAAAGTATGTACACTATAATTAAAGAGTTCGAAATGTGGAATTTCGTTTTATAGCTAAGGGGAAGAGACAAGTGAGCTGCATAACATATCCTTCACAATACTGTACCGTACCCCCAACTTAAGCCTGTTCTAGCATCTGACTACACTGTCCTGACACAATGAAACTAGAGCCAAATTGCTGTTACAAACTCTGAACTTGGTGACTGTTTTGAAAGCCAATGAGGCTTCATGTTGTCTACAGGCCAGACAAAACAAAATTACCAGGCATTTCCAGGTTTTCCAGGTGTAAATTTGAAAAATTCCAGGTACATTAATTCTGTATTTATTAAAATTAGAGGTTTTTAATAATATGTACTTACAAAGAAACCATAAAGTTATATATATATATATATATATATATATATATATATATATATATATATATATATATATATATATATATATATATATATATATATATATATATATATATATATATATATATATATATATATGTATGTATGTATGTATATATGTATGTATGTATATATATATATATATATATATATATATATATATATATATATATATATATATATATATATATATATATATATATATATATATATATATATATATATATATATAAAGCACGCGGACTTCTACATACAATCAACACCTCAACCCGCCAGGATTCGAACCCACGGCACACAAGCCTATGACTGTGACCGGGGAACGCTAACCGCTGGACCACCAGGATACTAAAAGCAGTCCTAGACTTTGTTATATTTCACACAAAGCCTTTCAACGAGCTTATGGCGCCGTGAACCTCTAATGGGGACCACCCGTATCACTTAGGTGGTCAGAGTAACGTTTATATTATTCAATAATTTTAAAAGTTTAATATTAAATTTTTTGGTCATTTTTAACAATTATTGAACATAATTGAAGGTAAGGAAACTAGTTTCATGCGCGCCATCCAGCCTGTCAACACACCAAACAGGTGCCAGTCTCTGTCTTTTCAGTGGAAGTAACATCTTGCTTGAGACTCTCTTCAACTAAACTCTTTTTTTGCGTGTTTGCAAGCAAATTATTGGACATTTTGAAATATATTTTACATATTGACAATATACAATGCAGTGCAGTGTTGATTTAAAGAAAATAATCTTGAATTACACCAAGAGAACTAAAATTTTATGGGTGAAATGGCACCATGGGGTGACTTCTCTTCCATCCCAATGCCTTCTCTTCTCCCTTCTCCTCCACCCCCATTCTAATTCCCATCATCATCATCATCATCATCATCATCATCCTCCAGGAGCCTTCTACATACACACCTCAAAGTAAGTGTACTTTTCTACCATTTTTGTTGAATTTAGGCAATTTTTGGTGAGCTGGAACCAATTACCCAAAAACCCATTAAAACAATGGTTTCGGTTAACGAGCAACCTTCTAGAACGGATTGTGCTCGTTAACCGAGGGACCACTGTGTTTATATATACAGCTAGACCCCGACTTACGACTACATGAACTTACGTCCATTGGTACTTACGACCTGCTTTTACCGTACGTCCTTCGGGACATACGACTGCGACCGTCGTGACCAAAAATATTTTCAAATGACGCGGGCATTTTCTATACCGAAACGTTTCCGTCCCGGGCGAGAGGGTGGCGCGTCTCGGGTCGCCTCGTGGGTACACTCACTCAGTGGAGCGCTTTGTTTGTGTTTGGCTAATAATAATAATAATAAATAATAATTAACGGTTTATTGAAAGAACTTGGCAGCCAGAAGGCTGAAAATATACAGTTACATATTTGGGGAATGGGTTTCGAATTACAAATAATATACAAGTAACATAAGTGATACAAATAAGATATAGAATAATTAGATGGGGAAAAGCTCAAACTACAGTTCATTTCAACATAGTGACAGTGCAAGGAGTAGTGTTTACTGGGAGTGAATACACTGGTTTATTACAAGTTATTGATAATTTTTACAATGGTTGGGACTGGGCTGTTCTTATAGCGATCAGTTCGTGCACGTATGGGGTGGATGCGGTTGCGGTGTCGTACAGCAATTCTCTGGCTAGGGATCTCAGGCGGTAGTAGGAGCCGGTGTCGAGGATGGTGTAGAAGCTTCTTACCAAATTTGCAGATGAGGTCGTGGTGATGGTCAGTGAGAGTCGAAAGGATGAGTTTGTCGAGCGCCTCTTGATATATGGAGTAGGAAGGGGAGAGAATAATCTTGCATGCCCTCTTTTGCACTTTTTCTATCGTATCCTATACTGATCGCGTTGTGAACTTTCGTTATTATCGTATTTAATTGACTTTATAATGACCGGAAAGCGTAAAGTGAGAGTGCTGGTGGTGTTCCAAGGAAAAGGAGACAGGCAATTACTTTTGAGATGAAACTGAAGATAATAACACAGTATGAGAATGGAAAAACAGTAGCGACAATGTCACGCGACCTAGGTTTCTCACACTCGACTATATCCACTATTCTGAAGGACAAGGAACGTATTCGTGAAGTAGTGAAAGGAACAACACCTATAAAGGGAACTATAATATCAAAGAGAAGACAAGGTCCTATTCACGATATGGAAAAATTATTGGTGATATGGATAGAAGACCAGATACAGAAGCGTGTACCCTTAAGCGTTCTAACCATACAGGCTAAAGCAAGAAGCCAGTTCCAAAGCCTGAAGGAGCAGGCAGGAGATAAATGTGATCAAACCTTTACAGGAAGTCATGGGTGGTTTGATAGATTTAAAAAACGGCACAGTCTACATAATGTTAAGGTGAGTGGAGAGGCAGCTAGTGCCGATGTTGGTGCTGCCGAAGCTTTTAAGGAGGAGTTAGATGATGTGATTGTGGAAGGGAATTATTTGCCTGAGCAAATATTCAATGTGGATGAGACTAGATTATTGTGGAAGCGCATGCCTGAGCGGACATACATCCACAAAGAGGCGAAAACAATACCCGGATTCAAGGCATTCAAGGACAGAATTACACTTCTGTTGGGGGGGAATGTTGCTGGTTTCAAGCTAAAGCCCTTCATGATCTATAATTCAGAGAACTCCAGGGCTTTTAAACATGTCAGCAAGCACACACTGCCAGTGTTTTATCGCAGTAACAAGAAAGCCTGGATGACCCTAGTACTGTTTGAGGATTGGTTCATTACTTGTTTCATTCCACGAGCCAAGGAGTATTGTCTGCAACAACAGATTCCATTCAAGATTTTACTGATTTTGGATAATGCTCCGGGACACCCACCACACCTGGACGACATGCACCCTGATGTTAAGGTAGTGTACATTCCACCTAACACTACCTCTATCATCCAACCCATGGATCAAGGTGCTATTGCTGCCTTTAAAGCGTATTATTTACGCACGACCTTCGCTCAGGCTGTTGCTGCTACTGAAGGTGAGAAAACGCTCAGACAGTTTTTGAAGGAGTACAACATTTAGTCATGTATAAAGAACATTAGTACAGCATGGGATCAGGTTACAAAACATTGCATGAATGGAATACGGAAGAAAATCCTGAAAAGATATGTGCACAGTTTCAAAGTATTTAATGAAAATGAAGTTATTTTGGATATTAGTAACAAGATAGTGGAGTTAGGTAAACAGCTGGAGTTAGAAATTGATACTGAAGATGTTGGACAGTTGGTTGAAAGTGTAGCAGAAGAGCTCAGTAACGAGGATCTTATTGAACTAGATGCACAGAAAATTGCAGAGGAAGAAGAGATACAAAATGTAGAAGAAGAACCTGCACCCCCAAAAAGTTTTCAGTGAAACAAATGGCAGAGGCATTTGCTACAATTAATAAAGCAATGCAAATGTTTGATGACATGGATCAAAATTATGAGCGTTATGCCAAAGTTGACAGGACGATCCAAGATGCGCTTGCTTGCTACAGAGGAATTTATAATGAAAAGAAAAAGCAAACTGTGCAGTGTAAATTGGACATCTATTTCAAGAAGTCCCCCAGTGCTGTCTCCTCATGCCCCACCAGTGCTGCCTCTTCACTCCCTCAAGATGAACCAATACCTTCAACCAGCAAGTTTTTACAGCACATAAACCTGTCTGAAGAAAGCGACATTGATGACCCACCCAGCCCTGTCTCCTCTTCTGCTTCTTCCAATTAATATAGTCTCCATGTATCCTGTAAATAGAAAATTATGGGGGCCCTGTGCATTCAGCTGACTACATTTAAGGTAAGTGCTCAGTCACACTGTATCCATTTCATTATTTATTACTCTGTACTGTATCCATTCCTCATTATTACGTTTAGTGTACTGTATTTCATTGTGTAGATTTTTAATTTTTTTTTATTTATTTATTTATTTATTTATTTTTTTATCTATGTCGGACTTACTACCATGTCGGAGTTACGACCTGGATTTGGGTCCCTAACCCCTTCGTAAGTCGGGGTTTAGCTGTGTGTGTGTGTGTGTGTGTGTATATATATATATATATATATATATATATATATAATATATATATATATATATATATATATATATATATATATATATATATATATATATATATATATATATATATATATATATATATATATAATATATATATATATATACATATATACATATACACACACACACACACAGCTAGACCCCGAATTACCTTCCATAAGAATCTTCAATTTGGTTAAAGAAAAAATTCAGTTAATGAAACTTTTACGAAATCATGTCAACATGTTTTTGCTTGCTCACCAGTTGGAATATTAGTCCGCGAATACAGTACTGCAATCGGTTCTAGGGCTTAAATTCATTCCCATTTGAGTAAATATCAAGAAGGTTGTACTACTATTCAATAATTTTCTAAGTTTTATATTAAAATTTTTAGTCATTTTAACACTGATTTAACATTATCGCAGTACAGGAAAATAGTTTTTGGTGCGCCAATAAGCCACTTGACTCACCCAGCAAGGCATCAGTTTGTATCTCTGGTTAGTGGTCGGTAACATCTTGCTTGTGCTCTCTTGAACATAAACTATTTTTACAATTTTACGGTACAATTATTGGTCATTCTGAAATTTATTTTACATATTGACAATATATAGTGCAGTGCAGTGGTGATTTAAAGAAAATAATCTTGAATTACACCTAGTGGACTTATAATTCACAATGTCTTCTGGTACCTAACCCAGGAATTATCACAACTCCACTTATATAAAGCAACAAAATAATAATACAGTACCTGCATCATCAACTGCAATTGGTGCCACACCAGTTGCTGCTTCACTTGTCACTCCAACATGAGAAATGTTCACACCATTGTCATGGAAATTTTGTAAATAGTTCTGGCCAAATGAATCATCTCCAACCTGTTTCAAAGAAAACTTTATAATAGTAATAACCTCCCAAGTTACCATCATACATACTGATGTGGCTTAATATACCCGGCAGTCATCCTAACTAATGATGGCTCGTCACTACATGCACGCAACCAAGGACAAATCTTAACACTATACAGATGGACACCCCCCTCAGTAATATGCAAAATGGTTGTACAGTACAATGGTGATGTGGACTATATGTGATCCTCCTTGTAAGTTTATCAACTTGAAGGGCAACAGATAATCCTGTACATAAATTTATTAACTTAAACTACATCTAAACCTCTACTGCTGCACCAACATTGTTGGTCTTAAAGTCTGAGTTGGATGAATTAACCCAAGGACTGACCCAAACAAAGGTCTCTATGTGCTCTAAAAAACACACAAAAGTTAAACCTTTCACTGGTAGAAAGAAAAATAATTCTTAGAATTTACTGAATACTGTCAATACAGTACAGTAATTATATTTATAAAGCTGCTAAATTTTTATAAATACAGGGGGCCCCCAAATTTGCGGATTTTTATTTTGAGGTCCTCTATTATTTGCGGATGACACTCTGGATATACCCAAGAATGTCTGTGGGTAGTTTTAAAGTTGCTGGCATTTTTGCAGCTGGGACAGGGTGCCATTCATTCTAGAGACAGTAATTTCCTTTACCTGTATTGTAAATACCTACAAGTGTGTGTGTGTGTGTGTGTACACACACAAAACACATACAAATAAATAATAATGGAAAAATACTCTCACAAATAATGAGAAACAAAAATTATTAAAAATGTGAGTCTACCCTCAAGTCCATGCTTTATTAATAAAAGTACAGTACAGTAATAAAGCACGGACTTAAGGGTAGACTGTCACATTTTTAATAATTGTTGTTTTTGATTATTTGTGAGAGTATTTTTCCATTAGTATTTATTTGTGTGTGTTTTGTGTGTGTGCGTGTGTACACACACACATACAGGTAAAAGAAATAATTGTCCTAATGGTAAACACATAAAAGGAATACTGTACACATTTCTTTATACACAGGTAAAAGTCCCCCCACCCTTTTAGCAAATGTTATTTGTTATTCGTTGATTTGGCGATTCGCAGCCATTTGAGAACCTAATCCCCACGAATTTGGGGGGCCCCCTTTATGTTAAAAGGGGTTACATAAACCAAAGTTTTGTTTGTCAATTACAGTACTATTATTTGTAAACAAGACAAGAAAACTGCACATGTATATACAGCCATACCAGTGGTAATCTTATTTTCCTCCCTTTTTATTTTTCTCTCATTGACAAGATACGATGGAGCTGACAAAGTGAGATAAAATGGACCTGACACAAAGAATGACCCCTGCTTCCTATGCCTATACCCATGGTTCATGAACATAATATTGTGATGTCATATACAAGCACTAAAGTTTACCTACATCATGTGAGTATGACCACTACTCAGCCACCCACTGTACGTAAGGCTCCTCAAATTTGTATGAAAGAATTAGAAAATGTTTCAGCAGATGCTACAGAGTTCTCAATGACCCAATTATAGTGTGAAAAATGTTACACACAGGAGCATAAAGTTCACCATACCATAGCAACCATTGCTGTTGTGGCTCCGAGTCTGGTTGCTGCAATGCACTGATTTGCACCCTTTCCACCAAAACCCACACTGAAACGGTGACCGTGAATTGTTTCACCTAGTGCAGGCAGTCGAGGAGTGTAACTGTAATGATATAAATTATGTCTTAATTTTTTCACCTCACACTGTAATGTATACATTTTTGACACCGACCATAATACCTTCACAATGTTGAGACAGATCTTGATGTTTTTATTTAACTCATAGGTCTCTAAATTCTCATTCTGATGTACTAATCACAATCATACATGTTAGTTAACTTAATATAATTTGATTCATATTACGTTCAGTAATCCCGAAAACACATAGCTATATTGTAATGTGTTCCTTGAAGGTCCCCCACTCAGACGTAAGTTTTCTACCATGCATTTCAGTCGATTCAAAAGAAATACTGTGTTGATGTTTGCAAATTTAAAATTACGAGTGAATGCTTATGTATAACCAACTTATGGCTGAAACATTCAAGATCCCTCTGCTAGTCATGAGAGAATATGAGATGTCTATTCACCACTGAAGATTGTTTTGAATGTATTGAAATAACTGCCATTTTTATATTTGAAATCTCATAATCACGAGGCAGAACCTGTCACCCGCCAAATTCTCTGAAGTCTAACCGCCCTCCATGAATGTTCCTTGTTCGCTTGAGAGCCGATTCGCCAAGAAATGTGACCACCAGTCTGAGTAGTTGAGTGTTTCTCCATGGATACTAATTAATTATTATTGTGAATTAGAGTCCAGGTATTTGACAGTGTTATAAGTAATAACTTGATTGAGTGATATTAAAAAGTGTTTAGAATGACCATCTTTCTAGTGTCACTGTTGTGTAATATTACCCATAAGTTAGTATATGTTCAATGAGTGTTGTACCTACTTATATTTTGTCTAAGTGTTAAAGTAAAGTACTCAGTATTGTTTGTACCTAAGTGATTGATGGTTCAAATTGTCACAGTTTTATTAACTGCTTTTAAAAAATACTAATTACAGCAAGTAAAATATATGTATCACTGCTCATTCCTTCCAATAATTACCATCCTTAAAAATACTGTACACCTTATAATTCACATGCCTAACCTCTCATGTCATATCATGCTACCACATTAATTAAGAGGTTCATTATTAGTGTTATATTATAAAGTAAAGTTTAAGTGGTGACAAAGAAATAGTTAAAAGTTCACCCTTTATACTGAGGTGTTAATGATACACTATAAAAAGAAGCATCAATAAGAAGCAAATAACATACAGTACTGTATGTGGGGAACAAGATGGAAACAAGGAAGTACTGTACAAGGTTTTTACCCCTTCCATTCATAATATGGAGGGTGGCTGGAATTGGGAGTAAATACACACACTCTTCATATTCTGACCTTTAAATATTTTTAATAATTATAAAAACCTTAGGCAACAAGTGTTAGCATTAGAAAAATACTGCACAGCAATTATAATATTTGAGATGTCATTTGGACATAATTTTACAGATATCAAATTGCATACAAGAGATCCTTTATCAGCATGTTCAGGGGTACATATACTGTACAGTACAGTATTGAGAGTTTGAAAAAAAATCGGTGAGATCAAGATTATGGCCAAAATGGATTTCATAGGATTTTAGACCAAAAACACTTTTTCTCTCAGAATTAAAATTTAAGTGTTCTCTAACTACAGTAAGTCCTCGTTTAACGTTTCCCCTGATAACGTTGTTTCGTTATAACATCGCTATTCTTTTGATACCGATAATTCGATAAAAGTCCACACGACTCATTATACAAGTAAAGTCTTTTTTAGCATTGTCACGGACTACTTTTTACAGCGCATCACCCTCTCTCGTCTTGGCGCGCTACCTCTCACTCGCGGAACGTCACAGCGCCCCCAAGCGGCATCAGTCTTTGTTAGGCTTCCACAACGTTCGTGTGTGTTTAAGTGATTTTGCTCTTAATACTGTACTCTACAATTCGAAATGGCTTCCAAGCACCCATCAAGTGCTACTGATGTTAGTGTTGTGAAGAAGTAATGTAAGACCATTAGCCTTGCTACGAAAATGGAGGTTTTAAACCGGGAGGAGCCACCCGCCGGGTCACAGTGACTTGCCACCCTCCTCTTCCTCTCCCGCTCCACTACCCATCACACACTCGCTCCACCACCTCCATCCATCAGTGAGCAGTGGTGGGCACGGTTCCGCTAATCCGCTAATTAGCGAAGCTAACTTTCTTGTTAGTGGATTAGCGTTTTCGCTAACTTTGGAAACCATTAGCGGACCAATTAGCTTCCGCTAAATTTGGTTCCACGAACAAAATTTATACATGTTTGTTCCTGTCGGTTGTAAGCATGTGATGCCACGACTCGTGTCTTCATCAGCCAGTCAGGCACGCTTGGTTGACTGCGTGTTAGTACTGTAAACGTGATACAACATGATTTGTCGACGCCGCGCTGCAGCAGCTGAACGAATGGAATTTTTTGATTATTAAAGTTTAATACTTTTTTTTACAGTAAATAAAGACTGTCAGTGTATGTTGAAAGAATCATAGAATGTAATTGTAAACTAATGCATAATTTCATTTCTCATTTATTTGTTAATTTAATTAGGATTGTTTTTGTGTCAATATATTTGGTTATGCTAAGTACTGCATAAGTTCATAACCAGGATGTCATCCAAGGTGTGCACCAAACAAAATTTTCTAAAAACTTACTTTTCATTAAAGTTTAGAGTTTTCTGTTTACTGTATTTACATGACTAAGACCAACAATAAGTTATATAAAAATGCACTGGTATAATGTGTACCAGTATGTGGTTGGTATTGTATGAAAATGCAAATTAATTATTTGTGAAATTGTGTACAGTGTACACCTTGATAAGTTGATCATCATCTGATCTTGGCATAATGCTATTTGCTACCTATGCTATACAGTACTATAGTTTTTGCATTCGTTTAATACTTTCTGTCTTTTCGTACAGTAAATAAAGATTATAAAGTGTATGTTGGAACTTGAATGTAAACTAATGTTTAATTTCATTTGTTCATTTAATTATTTGTGTACACCTTGATCATCATCTGATCTTGACATGCTATACCTTTTTGGAAAGCTCTATGTTTAAGCTACAAGACAACATATGAAAATTTCTGCTCTCTAGGTCTGTTTTTACGGGTTTTAGATGAGGGGAAAAAAAAAAAAAAAAGCTAAATTCATATAATAAAAGTTAGCGGTTAGCGTTAGCTTCCGCAATTTTTTTTTAGCTGTTTAACGGTTTAGCAATAGCGAAGTTAACTTTTTAGTTAGCAGATTAGCGGTTAGCGAAGCTAACTTTTCGTTTAGCTGTGCCCACCACTGTCAGTGAGTACAATACAAAATGATTTAGTTTATTTATATATATACAGTATAACCCCGCTTTACGAGGTCAATTGAACCCACGGAGGCCAGCATAAAGCAGGAAACGCGTAAATGGAACAACAGAACATATGGGATTAATTGAAATAGAGACTGGGCTGACCCCCAAACTCCACTTTTTCAGACACAATACCTACGTTGTAGTAAAAATAACTTCTTAAAAATTTTATGATGGTATGCACACACAATTAATAATTAAGAGAAATATCAATAATATCAGGTTTTTTAACACTTACATTAGTAAAAAAGATGGCTGGACACACGGGGATGGGGGGTTGGTTCCGAGGCAGAGGGCAGATTATTGGCCCTCACCTGTATCACTTGTATCAATTGTATCACTATCCACCACAGAGGCTTGCAGGGCCTCTTTGTCAAACCCCTCAAAGTCCATATAAGTCCATATCCTCACTATAATTATCAGTGACTTGGGCCGGCTGTGGTGGGTGGCGGGTGAAGAACTCGGTAAAGTTTTGATGACTGGGCGACTTTGTGTGCACCCTGCCTGCGCCGCTTCCCACGTATATGAGTAGATGCACCACGTAAAGTGGGAATTCCGGTTCTGGCGGGGTACCGCGTAAATGTGGAAACGCGTTAACGAGAACCGCGTAAAGTGGGGTATTACTGTACTATTTTATATAAAAATGCCATTGACTTTCTGTTTATGTAATGTATTTCATGGGGCAAAGGGAGGCTCAGGAACATAACTCCCGTATTTTATCTATTTCTTTTGGGGAAAATTGATTCCGTTAACGTTGCGGTTTTCAGGAATGGAACCGCAACGTTAAGAGAGGACTCACTGTACATACTATAAGTACATCCAGAAGAACAAATAAACACCAAAGTGTGACCTTGAAAAACCAGGGTTGTAGCCTATTTGATAAGTTTTAATATGACATTAATCATGATCAGTACATTTAGGATGATTTAGTAATCATTTATACCCTTTTCCACCTAAAAAAGTCACTGTACAAAGGTCAAATTTGAAAAACAAAAGCTTTGATCAGTCACCCAGACTCATCCTACATGCTTAAAGGCAAAAACTAAGTTTAAGTTCATCTTAATGAATGGAAGAAAATATTCTACTTTTACAGTTGAAAATTTTTAAGAATTCATTTCAGTACAGTTGGAGAGAGAGAGATGGGCAGTGGCAACTTTACTCCTCTGGACCCGTATAATACATGATCTGAACATACAGTACTAGTATCAGAGGCTTAGAGCCCAACCATAAACAGAAGCAGTCACCAGTTATACTGAACAGTGGCAACTTGGCTCCCTATATTGAACAACCACAGCTCTGTCTAACACCCACGTTTATTTCAAATGTTTCACTTTCTTTCCCATTTACTCCTACTGTTGCCCTGCTGTTTTCATAGAATGCATTTACTGCATTTAAAAGCCTTCCCACCACCCCATACACTTGTAATGCCTCCCACAATGCTTTTATGTTTACCCAATTACAGTATATGCCATTTCCAAATGTACTATAAATAATTAAAAACATCTGTAAGTAATAAATAAAAAAAAAAACTTATAAGAAGCAGGAAAAAAGACAGATTAAAAAAACAAAATTGTTTGGTTTAAACCATTTGTTTAAATCAGCCAACCCTGAATTTAATAATAATTAAAATTTAACAGCTTAACAAATCTAGCAGCCATAACCTGAAGATATACAAATTGTATAAGGCACACTCGCCACAAAAATTTCTTGAACAGCTGAGTGCGACAGATTTCAGAATGAGCACTATGGCTCCTATAATCTCAAAATGGTTGGTATGTCTGGTTACAAAGTGGTTCCGTATTTCATAATAATATATCCCTGTGTTGCTTGACTTTATGGTCTTTACAGGTGAAAAGAAGTAATTTAATTTGCAATAAAAGTTCTTCAGAGCAATAGTCAGATTCTTCATTAGTTTCGTCATATTGTATGACCCATTGAGCGTTTGAGAACTTTTTGTGGCAAGTGTACATGTTTGGTACTACAATACAGTATTACTGTACTTACCTTACAAGATCTGTCATACAGGAGCCTATCACGACAACTTTAGGGGTACTCATGATCTTCCTTAGCACTGATGTACAAATCTACAAGTTTAATCAATATCTGAAACCAATAAAGTATATACAGTACATTTAGTGAGTCTCTTGCTTATAAATTATTATCAGCATGTTCCAAATTCAGTCTACAGTATTTACTGTATTCTACAAGCCTATTTTTCCAATTACGGTACAATACAGTACAGTATATGAAATAGAGAAAGTGCATGTACAGCATTAAGAAAAGAAGAGTATCAAAGAAATGAAGGAATGTACACTAGTATGCCAACATATTTTTAATGACATACAAATATACCATAAGGCTTCCACACTGGTACAGAATTTTTTTTTTATAAATTTTATTATTAGATACAGTACTGTACAGTACAGTGTGTCCTCTCTTAACGTCGGGGTTGCATCCTGAAAACGCGACGTTATGCTTAACAAGGTTAAGCGGATCAATTTTCTCCATAAGAAATAGATAAAATACGGGAGTTATGTTCCCCAGCCTCCCTTTGCTCCATGAAAAAAGTTACATATACAGAAAATCATTGCCATTTCTATAGAAAATAGTACTGTACAGCTGCTCCCCGACTTACGAGGGGATTAGGAACCGACATCCAGGTCGTAAGTCGAAATGGTCGTAAGTCGAAATGGTCGTAAGTCAGAAATGCTTAAACAATACATATAAAATCTAAAATGGGGGTCTCTTTTTCTTCTCAGCACCACAAAACACTCACTTTTAAGCTTGCCAGCCATTTTAAAGTGAATTACAGATAAAAATTTTATATGTGTACCTGTACTGACTTTGAGACTCGAAAATACGTAATTTGACCAAATTTTGGTACGACTGAGGCAGGTCGTAAGTGCGGGTGGACGTAAGTCGAGTAGGTGGTAAGTCAGGGAGGAGCTGTATATAGAACTACAGTACTAAGTTTGTATTGGTATTCACTGATAGACGGAGGTGGTAGAGCGAGTGTGTGGAGCAAAGGAGGAGGATGGCGGGAGCGGAGGAAGGTGGGAGCAGAGGAGGGCGGGAGAGGAGGGTGGTGAGTCACTGAGACTCTGCGGCTGCCTCCTCCTGCTCTGACTGGGGTTCCTCCGCCGCTGCTTGCTCCTCCTCCGTTGTTGGCGGGAATGTCTCGGCAGCAACCGCATCTGAACTGGCAGCTTCACCTGTCACCTTTATGTTGTGGAAGTTATACCGACACTTAAATCGTTGAAACCATCCTCAGCTGGCCATAAAGGACTCTTCCTTTGATCCTTCACCCTCTGTTTCCTTCATGTCATCAAACAAGGGATCTGGCCTTATGCTGGATAACCATGAGGCTCACAGGGGCATTGCATTGATTCTGGTCCTCCATCCACATTGCCAGCATCTTTTCCACCTTCTCTATCACAGTGCTTCTAGTACGAGTCTTCTTAGTAGCACTCGGAGAAGAACCACTTCCAGCACTAACCTTAAGCTTGTCAGCGTTGGTCTGGATAGTAGGCACTGTTGTGGGGGTTAGACCAAGCATAGCAGCCATGTCCACAGAACGTACCCCTTTTTCAAATCGGGTTAATACGTCCATTTTCGTAGCAAGGGTAATAGTCTTACATTGCCTCTTCAGTCCAGAGATGGGGTCAATTAATTTTTGTCAATTCAATTCAATTCCAATTCAGAATAAATTTTGAATTAATCAATTCCAATTCAATTCATTCGAAAAAAGAAATCTTCAATTCCAATTCAATTCATTATGGTCGATATTTCATTCAATTCAATTCAAATGTTTTTCAATTCAAAATCAATTCTAATCTACCATTAATCTAATGGAAAGAAATAAAAATTTGAGGTTTCAAATTAGTTTCTTTATTTTTATAAAAAATGCTCTACCACACAAACCAATCATATTCTTTACCAACCAAAAGTTCAAATGGTTTAATTCTTTGTATTAGTAAACAAAATATGAATGAGTCCAAGTTACTGAGGATTTTGCATCTGATCATCATAAGTTGCTCAAATTGCCCCTCTCTGGCCTGAAGAGCTTGCCAGCAATGGAGAACAGTCATTCCACAGGAGCCGATGTAGCAGGAATAGCCAGGTACTTTGCTGCAAGCCTGGTGAGGACAGGAAACTCAGGTTGGTTGGCCTTCCAGTAGCCAAGGTGATCACCATCTTCCTGTAGACATGACTGGTTGAGGTAGAGTGAGACCTCAGTGATGGAGTTGGTCTTGGTGCAGAAGACCAGTTGGCCAGGGCAAAGAACTTGTTCCTCTTCATCATTGGTGGTTCAGCAGGGGAAGTGTCTGCTGTTGTAGGATCAACACTGCGTGCCATATCGTATTGCACAGTCAGAAGGTCACGAATGTCTTGCACTTCATTGTCAGAGTCATGACAGCATAATATATTATTTTATCAATTCACATCAATTCATTACATCAATTCATATCAATTCCAATTCAATTCAATTAATTTTGTATTTTTTTCAATTCCAATTCAATTCAAATTCACGGATTTTTTTAATCAATTCCATTTCAATTCATAATTGACCCCACGTCTTCACTACACTAGCTTGAGTCGCTTGGGGATGCTGTGACGTTCCGCAAGTGAGGGCAACGCACCGAGTCGAGAGAGCGTAGCGCGGCCAGACAAAAGCAGGTGACGCGACGTAGAAAGTAGTCCGTGACGACACAAAACGACGTAGTAGAGGATCACCGGGATGTCAAACGAATTTTTGGTCTCTAAAGTTCAGCGACGTAGTACCGAAACGCTAAGCGGGACTTTCGTTAAGCGAGGACTTACTGTATTGTGAAAAGCACTTTTTATTGTAAAATAATGAGAAAAGTTTATATTTTATAATTGTGGAGAAATGAAAAGAAACCTCCCTGTTAGCTGGAATTGGTATACGTATAGCTGTTCCGGGCTTGGAGAACAACAATAGAGGAGTAGACAACGGCTACCTACCACCAGAAGGAATTGTCCGAACTGGTTGAAATTTTTTCTACACACTAATATTATGATATTAAACACAAAAATGGAAACGACAATGCATAGACCCTGACCTAACATACCCATAGGTTGGGTATGTTAGGTCAGGTTCTATTAGGTTCTATGCATTATTGTGTTAATTTATGTGTTAAACAACTTACCTTAATATTGAGGTTGATATAAATCAGCAATGGCGAGGAGAAATTCGTGGAAGCATTCACAATTATTTATAGGAAACGTTTCTTGAAGAGGGATTCAGCAAGGTAAACAACAAAAATGGTGCAGGGAGGAGAATTGTGAAGCGGGATGGAGCCAAAAAAAAATAAAAAAAATAAATAAAAAAATATATATAAAAATTAAGATCATAATAGAAAGTTGTTTATTTTAATATACTTGAAATCATCAAAACAATAAGTACACCAAAAATAAAGAAAATCAACAAACAACTTCTGGTGGTAGCCGTTACCTACACCTTTACCAAGAACAACCAACCTAACCTAACCTGGTAAATTTTTACAAGTTGCCCATATTCTAAGAAATTAAAGCAATTTTCTGGAACACTAATCATTTGCAATGAAAATTTTACTAAGAAAAGTTGTTAGAAATAACGATATACCTAAAACTGGACATTTAGATCTCACTATTCTGAGCATTTTGAACCCCATATACACCTGGCGGAAATGGATACTAGCAACACAGTTTAATTTAATTGATTTTAAGTAGTTTTCAGTCTGTCTTATGTTATCTGTGTATCGATATCTTCACGATTTTTTTTTCGACCAATCGCATTTAATTATTTTCAAAGGCCCTGGGTAATTTCATTGACCAGTCTCACAATGGTCGTGGTGGAGATTGGTTATCATTTGTGCTCCTACAATTATTTTTAATTTATTGCCGAGTTTTACGAGAAAGACGATCATTCTTACGTATCCCTGGTTGTTTTACATTTGTCTTCTGGAAATAAACGAGACGCCAGCAGCAGACATAAGTGGCCAAAAGACCCACGAAATAATTTATTGCTTTATGAACTAATATAAGATGAGTTACAGGTGTTATAGTTAACATACCTACAGTACATCGGCTATTCCTGTCACGTGAGTTTGTTGACAAGACTATTTGGGTCTGACGACTGTCGACAAGCGCAGAGGACCTCACTTTTTTTACGGAGTTAATGGTTATATTATGGTAAATTACTTCTAATAACATGAAACATTTAACCGAGTCATATACTGTATATCTGTGTTAGAACATTCTTAATGGGTGTCTGTGGTAACAGAGAGCCAGTACAGTACATGCCCACGGTGCCACCAGTGCCTTAAACACATGACTCACGCGTCATGGGCCACGGCCCCCAAGTGGCTAACAGGCCGATCAGTGGCTAATAAAATAAAATAAAATAAAGTAAAATAATTGCTTTATCTTACAGCCATAATAAAAAAGGGTAAAGGTGTAGAGGGTGACCACCAGGGGGTCACTCTTCTACACCTTTATCTAAAAGAGTAAAGTAGTCCTCCCATGCAAAAGTTCCATTTTCTTGTATCACAACGTAGAAAATTAACGTAAATGAAACATTTTATGAACAAGTTTAAATGTGGGACTTTGATATTAAATAAGGGAATTAAATGACTTTGAATGAGTTTAAATGTTACAGTGGTATTGTAGTGGATTTTTCCCCTACAAACGCTGTTTATCGCTGAGTAGCCGACCCCAAGAATTCGGGTCCGACTAATTACCCAAATGTAGCCGCAATGAAGTCAAATACTGGTCCTACTCCTACATGAATAAATCGGGTTACCAATCACTTCTCGACTAGTATTTGGTGTCGCAAAATAAAAAAAAATTGGAAAGCGTAATTTAATTTGAGTTAATAGATCGAGTGCATGTACCGAACCTAACCTAACCTAACCTCGACTAGTATTTGGTGTCACGAAGTCACAAAAAATTGGTAAACTTAATTTAATCTGAGTTAATAGAGCAAGTGCATGTACCTAACCTAATCTAACCTAACCTAAGCTAACCTAACCTAACCTAACACAACACAACTCAGATGAAAGTAAGTTTTCCAATTTTTTGTGACTTTGTGACACCAAATACTAGTCCAGAAGTGATTAGCAGTCCGATTTATTCATGTAGGACCATTATTTGACTTCATTGCGGCTACATTTTGCTACATTTGGGTACATTTGGGTAATTACTCAGACCGCACGAAATTCCCGTGTATGCCTCGTGGTCTGGGTCAACCAGCTCCGCCATAAATCACGGAGGTCAACTACTAAGCCACGCCTACCCCCCACTATTTAAGACCTGACCTCGTGGTGATCTCTCTCTTTTCTACCTACACCAACCAGCCAGCAACACCTCCTCCTCCTCCGCCTGCCTGGCGGTCCTCGCTCCCGCCGGCGAGCATGGCGACCCACAAGCTGTCCTCCTCTGAGCACCCTCACCAACCAGCTCTCTCTACATCACGCTTGTAACCATGCTGCCTTCCCAGCACCAAGCTGCATTGTACATCCAATACAACATGTATACAGAGAGCACATTGTGAGTTTCCTTTCTTCATCCCATCCTGAGTGAGAACCAAACATCCCATACCCCACAGTATTAAAGAGAACAAGAGAGAATCACTTTAAATGATAATTAATAGTAACAATAACAAGATAATGATAATAATTATATTATTATTAACTAGGTTTCGAATAATTATCTTGTAGTTGAATCAGAGGAGTTATATTAAAGAAATTAACCTTAGCCACAAAAAAAAAGTTCACACAATAAAACTTTGTAAAATTTTGTGGCAATATTAGTTACAGATTATAATTATTAATAAAAAAAACCTGTTAAGACTTAATGGATTTCAGGATTGTTAGGAAACCTAATATATTTGTTTGGTTTGGTTAGATTAGGTTAGGATATATTAGGTAGGTAAGGTTAGGTTAAATTAGGTTTGGTTATAATTACTTTTTAAAATTGAAAGTGTGAGAGACAATGCTACAACACATCAATAATATTTAAGCAGAAATTATTTGCACTTTAATATCTGTTATCGAACCTTACCTTATCTAACACCCTGCCATATTAAGCAGCAAGAACTTATATCTATTACCTAACAAAAGAAACCAACCTAACCTTACCTATTGGTTTCTTTAATAGATAGCAAAACTGTTATCTGTACTCAAGTTTTGTCAGTGAAAAATTCTTATAATATTTGTTAAGTGTCAAAATTTTGGGTTCAAATAATGGTTTAACTCTTCGCACCGGCTTCTCGTCATCAAGGGAATCAGTTTGTCAGCGCGGAAATCGGGTGTAAATTCTGAAATCATTATTTGTACTACCAGGTGCAAATACCCACTACAAACAATTTATGCTTCCTTAAATCCAATAGCAGTTTAAAATAATGAGACATTGTTTGAGATGGAGAATTAGCCACTTAAGATGACAAGTGTATATTTATGGTTATATTTGTTGAATTTATTTGATTATTTGTCACTTAACTGCATTAATACCACCTAACCTAACTCCATGGCCATATTAAACTTTTACTTTTATCCTCTTCACCACTGATCAGTTCGTTAGCCGCTTGGGCGATCGGTCACGTCTCTGTTACGCACTGTTGGCAAGTACTGGGCATGCACTGGCTCCTGAATGTATTTGAACCTGCTTCAGTGTTAGGCAAGAATGGTCTTGAAAGAGCTCACACTCGGTGCCATCACGACTCTCTCTGGCAGATAGTTCCAAGAGTTCAGAACTCTCATTCTGAAAAAAATTTGCCCTCAGTTTTTTGGACCTGCGGCTTCTTCATCCTTAAGCTGTGACCCCTTGTGGGGCGAGCGTCCGCCAGCTCCAGGTAAGGACACTTGACCGAGTAGTGCCCCTTGAGATGCTTATACACCTCAATTAGATCGCCCCGCGAGATGCTCATACACCTCAATTAGGTCGCCCCTTGCCCATCTGTAGTATAAGCTAGGCAAGTTTAGTCGCTCCAATCTCTCAGGGTAGCTGAGGTGCCGAAGTGCAGGCACCGGCCTGGTGGCCCTCCTTTGAACATTTTCAATCAACAAGTCCCTAGTATATCTCGGGGACCAGACGGGGAAGCACTTCACTATTGAAGATCGTTACGAGGGACAACCGTCTAGATATCTGAACTACCTTCTTATAAGGCCTAATAATTGACTTGTCTGAATTACCTTCTTGCAATGGTCCGAGAACTTCAGCTCATTGTCATCATACACACCTAGGTCCTTCTCACATTGTCTCAAATAGTGGCGTCTTCATCGCTTTGGGACATATGATACGCTTCCTTACCGTTGGTACGCCCCAGGTGTAGCCTCTTACAGTTCATGACATTGAATCTCAGCAGCCATTTCTTTGGCCATTCTTGAAGTTCACAGAGCAAATTGGTACCAATGAAAAATCTGCCAGTGTGTGTTGTGATGGCACCGAGTGTGAGCTCATTCAAGGCCAGACTTGATCAACACTGGAGCAGGTTCTGATATATTCCGGAGCCAGTACATGCCCAGTACTTGCCATTAGTGCATATCAGACGTGACCGATTGCCCAAGCGGTTAACGAGCTGATCAGTGGCGAAGAGATAAAAGTAAAAATTAAGATTTTTTTTTAAATTGCAGTTTCACTTTTTATTGGTTTCTGACCAGAAATACCTGTATAGGTTTTTCCCCGTGGTATTTGGTGTGATTCATTCGAATTTGACCTCCATCTGTCTTGGAAAGGAGTCGTTTTAAGTTATGATCCCCACCCCTCCAACAATCTTGGAAGGTGATTTGCAATACTACTGAACTACTTTCGTGATAGTACAGTACTAGGTAATTATTCCACAAATACTGGCATACTTTATGATTTAGGCTCATAAGCAGATGTTTACAAAATAACAGCCCAGTATAGTTTAATTAGTGAAATAAATTAACAGGTCGACGACCTGTGCCTGGTTGGGTTATTCCACGTAATAAAAAAAAGAAAGAAAAAAATGTGTATGGTCTGGTACTCGGCATGAACCCCGGCTGCTGATGAACATCACTGACTGGAGCCGTGGTGTCCTCGCCCATGACCACAAGGAGGAATCCTTTACACAGCACTTTCAGACATGAGTACATCCTCAGAGTTGTACAGATACATTGAGGAGCCCAGTACTTGCCAACAGTGTGTAAAAGAGACATGACCTATGAGGGCTTGAGCTGCCACCATTTATGAGGGCCTGTGTGCCAGTAACAATTCCTTTTACTCATATATCACCATTGGTAGCGTGACGATAGGAGGCTCGTGGGTAGGTGTAATGATAGTATCAAGCAATAGGGAAGAAATAACGGTAGATACTGTAGGTAAATAATATACACAATTATACAGATACAAAGTTTATTTAAACATGAATATGAAATTAGAAGAAAAAAATTGGTTTGTACTAACAGACGAAATCTATTACTAGGCCCTCAGGCTCAACATACTCACACCATTACTGGGTGGACATATTCAATACCCTTCCAACCCTACTGGGTGGACATACTCAATAGCACAACTAGGATAGTCACTTAGCACCATACATATTAGAGCAACTGCCACTACAACACTCAGTCGTCAGGAGTGATACTCAAGCAACAGCCATGGGGTCCAGCCACCATGGAGTACTATCCGACGAACTCTGCAGATCCCAGTGGGTTAATTCCACCACACAAATATAGCCCTACTGAGTTAGACACTCATCCACCAATGATGGGGGCTGGTAGTGGGGTGTGGCTTGGTGGTCCAGGGTCACCTCGTGGACCGAGCGTTAGGGCCAGACGAGCCAGCTATGGGGGCTATAGGTGGTCTGAAGTGTCTGACGGCCGGGTCTCACGAAGGTAACTGATCCTACTGGACCTCGGACATGTCCCCAGACATAGTGGATACAACATCCACCCTACAGACACGGCCTAGGCTGCGTTAGGGACCTGTATGGATGAAGGGACGGGCACTTACTAACGGTTAAAATGCCCGCGTGCCCTCACTCAAACCAGACCAGGGAGTCCAGCTACTCCTATTCCAATGAATTAATTTACGGTACCCTCTGACGTTGAAATTGAGACTATGAACTCCTTTTCATTCTCTACTATTATCTTCACTAACAATGCTCTGACTCAGCTATCGAAAGCAAAATTAAATTGATTACAAAGGAATGGATGGCAACAGGTCCCAGCATACAGCGTCTGCTCCCATAGACAAAGGCGGGGGAAACAGAGAAAACGGGGGACGTTTCCACTGGGGGACTCGGAAGGTTTTGTGGACGTTTGAGCGTAATATGAATCCTTAAGGTTTTCA